CTACTTAAGAGAATATATAGATTGTGCACCAGTTCTTGTTGTACAGAGTATTAGGTTGTCTATGACATTTCTCATGGAAGATGGTATCTCGATATTGTATGCATGTTATGGCAACATTCAGCTGGCCTCTTGAAGTCCTAACGGACTGTGCACTGAAAGATATCAACAGCCAACGGCCGTTGCGGGAGCGCTTATGGATTACCTCATGATACAGAAGCAGAAAACTGCCTACATAGGTTCCTTTCCGTACTCGGTAACTACATCGTTAAATAACGAGACATAAATTGCTTACATGAATAGGTAACAGGCTGAGCAAAGAGATCATAACAACGATCTGCTTCCTATCTTCACACTTCGGAGAGCCAACCCAATAGTGCGACGATTCCACAACCTCCTGAGATGGGTTCGAAGGTAGTGGCCAAGTTGCAAAACCTGAGGGACTGGGGTCCTCATACAGTAGTTTATGTGATTTACTGCGGTCACCAGTTGTTGGTTGACAACTGTTTCCATTGCTGACTGAGGGAGTCCTCATCGTGGTTTTAAGGGATGGGTGATCATACTTATTTATATTCATGTCGTTGGGGTGCCTGCCATAGTGTTGGAGCCCTTGCCAAGCATCTTTGTTACCGTCGTCGCTGGGTGATGACGGTGATAATCCTTACATCCTTCTAATTGGTCACTGCTCTGGACCTATTCAAGTGGGCTGTCCATTGGCTCCCCACCACACCGCTGTGGGGCAGCTGCTTATCCCCACTTCTAATCATAACAAAAATGTTAGTCTATATTCCTTAATGCCCTCATTATGAATGCAAATGCCATCAAATAGCGCGATTGAACGCCATGCGAGACCTAACAGTACGGAGAACTATTGGCCAGGTATTACGTCTAAGCGCTTCATATCAGCATTGTGGTGGACATGACAGCGAAGCCAACTCGGTCATCATTATCGGAACTGGGTAGTACCATGCGCATGAACAAGGCTTCAAACTATGGCTGTCTCAAAAGAATCAAACCCGGTTATCTTCGTGTGGGAACGGACAGATAATGGTAAATATCATCAATTTCTAGCTCGTTAGTTGGCATATTTTCTGTCTGGAAGTAGATCTATGCCGTTGCAAGTGCCGTAGGTCAAATGAAGGAAGACTTGGACCTGAGCACATTTAAATCGATGAACATGCACCAACTGAATCCTGCTCGTCTGCACCACCACTGCATCTAACAGTCATCACTGCAAAGTCTGATATAGAGTATAATGGAATATAAATACAAGCTTTCGATTGATAGAACAGATTTCAATATATCCGACCGACGGAGACATAAGGGCTGAGACAGAGGCGCAGATACCTTTTTCAGAAACTGGTTATCTTACAATGTGTAATTCAAGAGATGTCGGGCAGCCTTTTACCGAGCCAAGGTTTGCCCAAATCCACAACAATCGAGGAGCGGGCCGAACTGCAGCCACAATGGCAGGTCCACAAAGAGCAGCCCCGCCCCAATACACCTGAACACGCGACACTCGTATGCGGCGAAATATCTCCCCGCGCAACAAGAATGCTTGGCTTGGGATCAAGTTTACATGGGAGTTTCTCCAAAGATTGAAAGTTTACTCTCAACCAATCTCGTTCTGTAAAGGATTCTCCGGTCAAATTTTGCCCACAAAATTGACCAGTGAAGTACCCTCCGATGATAGAATGAAAACCTAGGTCCTTGTCCGCTAACTAGGCTACCAATGTTTCTGATAGATCACCCGAGCCTTCACAGGCCAAGATATAACATCGAGCACAAGGGAACAAAACAACTGTTTGGCAAAACTTATAAACCGGCCCCTGCTTCGATCAAGCGACAGAAAAACCCGTTGCTTAACGATGAAGACAGTCGTTTGCAAAGGATTGATGAATGTGTCCCTTCCGGTCCGCCCTATGTTATTCATGACCATTGCTGCGCCTCGGGTGTCTTGTTTGGGCCTCTCTTGGAATGACCTGACTTACAACGCCTCCGCCGACGCTATCAGTAACGGGAAATATGTCAGTCCTCCTTAACGCTCGGTCGGCCCGTCAAGTAAGGGCTGCAAACATACATTCAAGGCCGGTTTGCGCTGTGGTGACTCGGTGTTGCATGCTCATGGCCTCAAAGAAATTTCCATAACCGCCCTACCCGTGTACGCTTCATCTTGACGCCCTGTTATGATGCCACTTCCACAGCGGGCGCGACAAGATGGCGATGCAGGTCGGTATGAGCCTCAGGGCAAACTCTTATTCGGCTTCGTGAGAACTGAGAGAGATGCAACATAAGATATAAAATGGTAGGCCCAGACGACATCTGAACCTGTACAAATCATCACCACATCAAATCCTGAGTTCATCAGATCTCGTCTGTGGTCTATCCTTCTCTCGAGTTCTGAAGCAGCCATCGCAGCAGCCAAGGACAATTGGCATCCATTGAGAATGGCTTCCTACCGCAAAAAGATGTGGCGTTGTGTAAGTGTTGCAACTACGGAAAAAAAGGGCACAAGTAAATGCTAACAATAGCCCGTGAGTAGCATAAGTGTAGAACGCCAAAGCAGCGCCTGTCTACCCTTGAATGTCAGACATGTGACCATCTCAGATGTTCTTCCTGCAAGATCGAAGAGTGGGAATGCAAGTGGTATTGTGTCAGTACCATTTTCTTTGATCAAGATTGGAATGCTGAGCACTAATAAAGCAACTAGACCAATTGCAACGATGGTCCTTGGAGCTTCGAGATTCAGAGCTTTTGCCCTGAATGTCAATATCCACGACCTGAAGCGAGATATTGCCATATGGAGTGGTCACTGGCTCCTATGTACTAGCAAAGTTGCGGCTATGCCTTTTTTTCACAGCCCCTCAGTTTACACTCTCTTTCCAGTCACTCGTTCCGTTGTCTGAGTCCTTTACATCAGCTCTATATATCGGCTTTCCCCCCCTGACTCTGAGTCTTCTTATGCTACCCTTCAAGTGGTAACAGAGAAAGGCAAAGTTAAAGCATGGGACTATGAACATCAGTATTGATCTGTTGGAGGCATATGCAGGATGAGAAGGCATAGAGTACGGCGTTTCAGAGAACGGACTTTTTAGGCTGGGAGCTAGGTTCATACTTGGGAACTCTTGTTTGTGTTTTAGTGGCAATTTCCTTTGACTTTTAGTTCGCTCTTGCGGTTATGATATACTATTGAACTCTACACTCTTGACCGACCGATTGGAAAACTGTTCCTCAGTTCCGCTCATCCTTGTTACAATCTTGTCAACCCTGGAGGGGTTGGACAGTCAGTGACTTGGTGGATCGCTGACCGCCCTGTGATGAGGACTTACCGACGTCCAGGCACAACACACTTTATTACCCTTCCTGTAACCCCACTGTGACTAGCGAGTGGGGGTTAGGTACCTACCCATGTAAAATATCGGGTATCCATGCGGCCGGTACCTGCATGCGGACACCTCTATCAAGTATGAAAGGAGCGCAGGCATGCTCGTGGTCCTCGGTGCAACACTGCTGTGACGTGCTACACAATAACTTTTTGTTTACACCGTATGGCTTTGATATAGATTTTGTTGCAGTGAGTTAACAATTCTTAAATTACATATCGGTCAAATGAGTTGATAGTAAATCGGTTCATGGTGGTCATTGTTGGCCATGCTTCGCCCATGTACAGCCTCAGCTTCTCACTCTACTTTTATGAAGCTGAATGCTATGTTTTTCAGACACCACATAAGTAGATGGACTGAAGGCATAACCAATTGTATCCCCATCAACGCAAAGCTGAACTGCAGCTATTGGCTGCTCTAAAATGTTGCTTGCTGACACTGATGGTCTTATCAACAAAAAAGTTTGGCTCAAACCTACATATGCAAGCTACCCCACCCAGAACGTGGTATGTACCTCGACACCAAAAGGGAGATGAAACCCTCTACCGTGAAGACCCCACCTTTGGTGGGTCAAGGGCTCGCGGACCCACTCAATATCTTCAAACCTGAGGTATGCCAAGACTGAGCAGAAGTTGGCAGTTCGTTCGGGCCAACCGAGAAGCAGCCCTGCATGGTCATGCCGATGGGTTGCTCCATAACAGCTCTGTCTCGCAGCCGCAAAGTTCGACCTTTGGCCCCACAACGCAAACACCACGATCCAGTGCAAAAAGCTGGGCCTTCCAAGTTGACAGATGGACTTCAATGAACATCAGAACATGACCAAGACTAGCGGGCTTAGATAGCCTTGCCAAAAGTGAGCCTTGGGCAGCAATGTTAAGCAGCCACTTGGCTTGTTTTCTGCCTGTGCAAGTATTCCGAGCGGCCATTCTCCGGCCCCTGGATGCGCTGGACCGAAGCCACACGTTCGGCCATGCCGACAAACGGCCGATGTACGAACGATGCGTGCCGATACCGCGGATGCGGAAAGCGAGCAGGTAAAACTTCGTTGCGGCTCCCATATCTTAGAAACTAAGTGACAACTTCACTTTTATACCTTAGTTGCACTCCGCGGTCATGTGAGCACAAATCACCAAGTGCGTATGTCATCTGGGGCCCTGATCTCTGTTTGAAACAACATTAAGAGCATGGCTACTTGAGAGCGCCACAACTTGCAAGCCAAAACACTGGTGACTAAAACAATGGGTTGAAGGAAGAAAAAAACAGACCGTATCTTACTCAACCTCACCCAGTTCCAATATCAGGAGCCCTACAACCGGCGAGACAATCCCTGGAAGCGGCAGTGCAGAGAAACACCATATCCCTTCTACCACGAACACCATGAGCCCCAACCCCGCGCTTCTTCCCATCCTCTCTCCCTGACAGTAAAGAATGAAGCTTGAAATTTCCGGAACAGACGAGCCAAAACAACATGTCATACTCCTACTATTTCCCCTCCCCCCCAACTTCCTCCAGAGCTTAATCGGTCAAGTCAGCCGAGTGGCTTTCCTAAGCCCAATGCCCTCACCCGAACAATTGAAAATTACCGTAGCCAATCTTCACTAAGAGCCTTTTGGCAAAAGTTTAGATAGAGATCGAAAGTTTTCTCTTCGCCCCTGCAGCTCTGTCCTTTGCCGCTACCATCTTCTTGGCCTTGGCAGCAGCCTTAACCTCCTGTGTCTCTGCCGCCTCCAGCGCCTTGCGCGAGGGAATCACTTTCCTGGATGACGTCTTCAGCTTCGGTGCCGCCGGTGAGGCTTCCGTGGCTTGACGCAACAGTTCTTGGTCGTGAGACTGCAAAGCATCCGGCTTTTCCAAGTGCTCTTGCTGCTCGTTCTCCTTGTTCGGGCTGTCAGTCGAGACGCCTGCTGCGATGATAGTCGTGCCGGGACTTCTGTTAGACGTGGTCGCTTTGTTCTGGGGCTGATCATTTGATTGAGCAGCTGCATCAATAATGACTGCTTTCTTGCTGTAACCCTTTGCGAGTCCGGCCTTGCCAGTCTTGGTCTGGCGGCTGCTTGCTGCCTTGATCGTGATGGCTGTATTCGGTCGCTTGCGCGGAGTCAGAGTCAACCTAGTCTTTGTGGTGGGTTTGAGGGTGACAGAAACGTTGCTCGAGACGTTCCGTTTGCGCTCATTTACAGCACTCTTAGCAACGGTGCTCTTGACCACGATGCGCTTAGCTGCCGTTTTTGCCGATGTCACTGCCTTTGACCTCCCTTTGGTCACTCCCTTTGCGGATGCCCGTTTTCTTGCAAGGACTTTAGATCCTTTGCCAGCTGTGGTCTTTGTCTTTCGCTTCTTGATGGACTTGCCGTCTTCCTTGTCATCGGCATCGAACTCAAACGCATCCTTAAGTTTACGCTTCATTCCTCTGGCGGATTTGTCTGCCAACTTGATATCTCTTGGGTTTCCCTCCTTCTGCTGTTTTTCTGGCTTCTGCATCTTTGCAGCGGATGCCTTGGACTTCTTGCCCTTCTTGCCCTTCTTCATCTGCTGCTTGTCTTCCTTTTTGGGAGGCTTTACCTCCTTGGGCCTAGGGCCGAGCACACCTCGGCAATTCGCACTACCACACAAGCACTTCTGCACGTTCTTAGCGCAGAAGGGATCGAAGTTGTAGTCGTACGTCAATTCCTCGCCCGTGGTAATGGGGCGGTCTCCAGCAAAGAGGGCCATGCGCGGCTGCCCTTTGACGATCCATTTTATCATACGGCAATTGGGCGAACATGAGTGATTGACGAACCGCGCGATGCTACCGCTAGTTGCATCAATGATCATGTTCTGGTCGAAAGACATGAGATAGTAGCACTTTTGGGACATCAGCTCAAGAGCTCAGAGAGAGGGGCAAAAAAAAAAGAAAAAGAAAACCGAGGGGTGGACCAAATGAACCATACCTCATTGTCTTTGTACTCTTCCCTCATCCGTCGCTCGCACTCTTCCTCGGTGATAATCTCACCAGTATATTCCATAATTATCTGGTTCGGTTCAAAGCAGCGATTGCTGCGGACCCCGTAACCTCGGTCTGGAGTTTTAAACACCTCAACGCCAATGCGGTAGCGCCCACCTTTCTTGGTGCGCTCTTGGAGTTCCTGAAATGCACGGTTGGTGCAGTACTCCTTACCAATGTTACAGTTCGTTTCGTCACACTCATACAGCATGATGCGGTTCTGGCATGTCTCTCCACAACCGTCTTCTGGCTTGCAGACGCACTTAGAAGCGAAATCCCCAAAGTGAGGGTTCTTCTTCCAGTATGCAGCAGCATCTCCAACAAATCGGTCTGGGACACGCAGGTCAACGGGATGTACAGTTGGGTACTCAGAGTAAAAGCAGCCACTTACTCTTGGTCATGGTGCGATAAGCAGCAGGCTTAGGCTGCCCAGGAGGAAGAGGGTGGCAAACGTCATAAGGCAGCTTGAAATCACGCCCATGGAGCAACAGCCGAAAGCCATTATACATGGGCAATGGAAGCACCTTGTTTGGCTTCCCGCTTGGCATCAGTTCTGGCATGTACAGCAGCTTCTTCCTTTCCGGTGCGGTCAAAGTCTTCATGATATCAGTAGGGTATTCTTGGCCAGCGTAAAGACCTTTCTCCAGCCATTTCTTGGGCCGGGGCTTGATGGCTCCAATTGGACGGGGCTCCTGCTTGTCCTGGCCGTCCTGCTTATCCTTGGCTTCCTTGTTTTTGTCCGAATTTCTCTCCGGTTCCGAGTCTTTGGTAGCTTCAGGACTCTTCTCGGTCTTGGCCTTCTTTCGCGGTGGCTCGGAGGAGGATGTCGCCTGGAAAGGATCTACGTCAACGTATTTTCCATTGCTCCAGACGGTGTAGCGCACAGGACGAGTATCAATATGAGCAAACTCATTGGTGTCTTGTAGGCGCCTAAGTTCGCGTGGCAGCGACTTCAGCTCTTTTTCAATGGCCTTTTTGCCGCGCTTGCTAAGGGCTGCTAGTTTGGTTGTCAGATCCTCGAGCGGCAATCCAGAAGAGCGCGTCGCACGACGCGTCACCGGTGATGGGACAGAAGTTTTCTTTGTCTTTTTGGAGACTGTGGAAGCTTTAGTGTTCTCAACGTCTCTGGAAAGTTGGAGCGTCTGAGACGCGTTGATGGGTTCACTGGCGCTTGTGTTGGCAACCTCTACCTGTCTCGTATCTGATACTGTATGCCGCCGCTTTTTCCCTTGGACAATGTCTCCTTTTGCGCGTCGTCTTCCATGTACATCCGTTCCTACGAGTTTGGCGAGATTGTACACTGGCGCGCTTGCACGCGCTCGCCTTGGGCGGGACGTCGCAAGCGGTTCGGCAGAAGCCTGGTGCCCGGCGACCACAATTGCATCTTGGCCGGCGGGCGTTTGCTTCTCTGGCTTGTTGTTGTCACGTTGAGCGTGCTGGTCATGCTGGTCGGCTTCAGGGGTGGGAATGGCGGCCACGACAGTCGGCACTGCCACAGCCTCTTCTTTCTGGCACTCGAGCTCAGAAGCCAGAGAGATGCTGTCGGGCGACGCGGTTGTCGGAGGAGTCGAGGTGAGCGACGCGTTGTTGGATGAGTTGGAGGAAGAGCTTGCATCCGTATCGGTGGGGGTGCTGCTGGAGAAGCTCGCTTCGCATGGCAACGGCAATGGCTCGGCGGCTGCAGGCGCTGTTTCTGTGGTCGCCATGATGGCAACTATGGGTTGGTGAGGGTTTGGCTTGCAAAGTGTTGCAAGACTCAAGAGCAGTTGACGTTTGCAAAACCTTTCGACAAAATCAAGCGCGTCTGCGGACGAGTCAGCAGGCGGCCTGAGCTGCAGCACTAGAAAAGAAGCGGGAGGTCTGGCAGACGCGGCACGGTCACAGATGTGACAAAAACAGAGAAGGAATCGGAGTTGCGCGGAGCTCTCTGGAGAAAAAAAAATCGCTGAAAAAGGATAGAAAGTAAAGGACCTGGGGCGTCAATCGGTGCGTGCAAGTCTTCAAATGGAGTCAATGGGCTTGCGAACGCAGCTGAAGAGCGCCGAGAGGGCGTGAGAAGAGAGAATGCATGTGCGCAGACGCGGCGCGTTTGGCTATTATCGCGTAATGGAGGGTGTCGGAACAATACCCACTGAGTGGGCGCGAGTTCTTGCAGCAAGGGGGGTGGGGAGGGAAAAAAAAGTGTGAGTTGTGTGGATGAGAAAGATAGCGGACTGATCGAATCGTGGCCAGGGGCAGGCCGAAGTATTTATTTGGGGCTGGGAGGGGTGTGAACGGATGGACCGTTTGACCATCCAGCACACCTCCCTGATCACCACCTACCTGCCTTACCTACCTTACCCATGAGGCAGAGAGAGAAGCTTGCGAGCTTCCACAAGAAGCCTACCGTAGCATACCTTTGCTGACTCCCCCCTCACCCGAACACATGCGTGCCTTGTATGCTAGTGCCAACTTGGAAACTTGTAGCTTCGTTTCGGAACCTCACATCTTCTCTCTTGACCAGACACAACATTTGCATGGCGTCGGATGCCATCGTCCCCGATCATCGCTATGGGCCTATCATCCCATCATCACCATCATGCCCGTGAGCCATCCTTTGAAGCTCCTCACAGGCCGCTCCAGTCTGTGTCTACTTTGTGTCTCATGCATGTAGGCTTCCATGAACACGATTAGAGGGAGATGCCATGCTGTCCAATAAGTAGACGCTGCCATTCTGCTGGTCGTTGGAGGGCCACGGAGTATCAGTCCGGCTCCTGGTAGGCTTGTTGGGTCTTTGCGGTGTTTCTGGCACCGTCACTGGCATCACGGGCCATTTAGCCCAGCACACAGATGCAAATTTGCCTTCCTTGGATCGGCTTGTCGCATTCTTGCACGACATCAAAGACTTGAATGGGACTTGCAATGATTGAGTGACTATGTGTTAGTGGGCGTACATCAATCCAGACATTCTCTTAACAAACACTTGTTGTATAAATTTAGACTCGATTGCTCGACTCTTTAGAGGCACTGGACAAAGTCAAGCAGAAGCTAGGCCCAGGGTCGAGGACCCGTAGATGAGAGACATGAGAGACAATTATCCAAGGGACTAGAACCGAAACGACCGGCAACTTTGCCGGAAAAGGTTTCTTGGATACATTATTGCGAGAAATTGTCGCATAACACGGTTTCTTGCCTGGTTGGTACCAATCTTGTGAAAGCAAAAAGAGTACCTTCATTGTTTCTGCGACTTCGTGCCGACCATCGAGTTGGCCGTCCATTTGCGTTATTGTCGGCGAGAGTCCAGGCCGTGGTCCAAAATTTCTGGACATGAGCAAGACAAAAGTGCTGTTGACATCGTCTTAGGCTGGCAGTGCTTGATCTCCTAGTTTAGATCGGTCCTCAATGATCGGGGAGTCCATATAGGAGGACAACTCTAGCCACCGTGCATGTTTATTCAGTTTATTATCATCCATCCACATGGCCTTTTGGGATAGTATCTCTGTTTGTCTTGAAAGCTTCTCCATGTCTCCACCTTAGCTCACGCTGCTATAGATTTGACAGCATTTAGCTTTAATGATTTGAGATTTTCGTCACCACAACGCCGTATGTTGCTCGGGCGCATTGGAATGGCGGAGAAAAGAGACTGCCTTACTGCGCGTAGGGGTGTCCCATGGTTGCTTCCATTTCGATTCGTTAGAGGAAGTAATCGATTACAATATTACACTGGGAAAGCCCTCCCGAAACGTTGGCACAGTTTGCATTGTGTATACAGAGTTTCGTGGACATTTCATCTTACATTCAACCTGCGCTCGGAATGCTTGCAAGTGAACACCAAACACTCTCATTCATACGAGATTACATTCTTTTTCAGCAGTGCACCTCTTTGGTAGTATCCCTAAAGCTCAAAAACCCGTCTTCAACCACCGTCGAGAAAGCTCTCAACATGTGTTTCATAGCGAACGGCAAGAGACTCTTCTCCAGATATCGAGACAATGAACAAGAGGACCATGACCCGATTCTTGCACTGCACAAGCGCTTGCCTGCTATTATAATGGACGTCAATGGCATGAGAACCATATAGGGCGTGACTCTCTCTGACCATCTTGGCCATGCCCCAACGAGACTTGTTCTGAAGAAGTTCTTGCAAGCTCATCACGGGGACCTAGACAAGGCACAAGTGGCCCTTGAGGATGCCTTGACCTGGCATTCGCGGATGGCAGACATGACTGACTATCGCTATCGCGTTTTCCGCCCTCCTTTCCAAGATCTTGGAATTGTCACAGTCCACGAGATGCCATCACCAGCGACCTCTCAGGGCCCAAATATAACCGTGTTGATCTGGTACGCTTGGGGAAATGCAAGGCAAGATCAGATATTTGATAACACTAACACGTAAGTCGAGCTACGCACCTGGGTTCTCAAATTTCCCAGATACCTCTAGCTAATCCCTGGAATCGTCTAGTCTTTTGGGACTGCGTTACTCTCTGTTAGAGCATGCTGTTCGTCAAATTGGAATTTCAGAGGTCACAGGGCCTGTGTTCTACGATGCGCCTGACAGGTTCGAAATTATCCACGTTCATGACTTCAGTAACTTCAACTTTTTGGAAGCTGGATGGCGACGCAAGCTGCACCACGTGTGGGATATGCGGTTAATGCTCGATAAGTTCTATCCAGGCCTCTGCCGATCCACTGAGATTACGGGCTTGGGGAGCAAGGCATATTGGTTTGCCAAAATCTTTTTGGCCAGAAGGTTGTCATCATCAAAGTGGCGGAGAAACTGGCACCTGTGCCAGCGCCCTGGAGAACTTGTGAAATATCTGCCTGAAGCGCGAGCCACTGCCGAGGCTTTATCTTGGAGATCTAAATCCTCTGCTTCCAGATGTCCGAGTTCTATCATTGGAGTTCGGGCTTCCTCGACACCGGCGAGCATTTACTTGGGTTCAAAGACTGAAGAAGAAAGAGAAATGATGGGGTGGTGGCGAGAGGATGCAGGGCCCCTCTCCAACCAAGTGCTTCCACCGCGACTTCCATGGTATAAGCGCAGTAAAGAGAACCCAAGATGCAAAACACTGAGAGCCTAGGCACTTCTCAGCTACTACATTGATGACAATGGGAAGCCCTATTCGGTCGACATCTTTATGGACAGCTTTCAGCATATCAAACCTAGCTCATTCATCGTTGAATCAGTCGACAACTGGCGATGCTTTGCACCCACCTTCGACAGTCGTATGGCCAGCACCAAAGACAAGAGTGTCTTCACGGCTTCTTCATCAGGTTGTACATTCAGTTTCGCGGCATCTGACAGAAGAACTGATAGCTCACTTCAAATGTCAAGCTCGATGAGAACAGCACGCAGAGTAAAGCTTTACGCCAACCTCAACCGGCCGAAGAGAGTTATGCCGGAAGATCAGCCCCTGCAAGCTGCCGACACTGACGTTATGGCCACATCTCCTATCTCTCTAAGCTCTTCGTACTCACCCTCATGTTATACAACCTGTTCATCTGGTCTCGAGAATGCGACATCCAACAGTTCAGCAACATCAATAACGATAGACCCTATTATTTCCCGATCAAGCTTGTTGTGCAAGGATGAGACAACGCCAGCCGAGCCCAGGGTTTAGCGATAAGTGGCCTTTGAGGTTGACAGTGAGCAGAAGAGGCTAAGCCACGACTGTAAAAGCTGTTAGAGACATTCAGAAGGATTTGTCATTGTTGGAGAGCAAGCTGGAGCCAGGGTTTGAACTCCCATCAACAAAGTTCCGCCTTGCTGATGACGGGTTGGGGATGCGTTCAGCGCCTTGTGAAAGGAATAACTCGCATTCCATTGCTACGTGGTGATTTGCTCTATTTGGCAATCATGGAATTTTAGAGATAGAATTAGAGCTAAGCGATGATGTGTAATCTTGAAGGATGGCACTGCAGCGGGGAGAGGAGAACCGTTATGTTTGTAACAAGAACCTAGAACCTTTTCAGTTGATAAAGGAAGCACGGCTGCTATTAAGCCCTGGTTTTGGGCATATAAGAATGAAAGTAAAGAGTCAAAACATATAAAAGCTGAGTATGTTAAATGTTGGTTCGGAATCTGGGGAACCAACCGCTCCTGGACGCCTTGCCCACCAACTCTGAGGGAGTGTTAGTGGATGATGTATCATCAAATCTGGGCTGTTTTTGAGGATGAAGTCAACAGGTCTCCACCATGGCCAATCAGTGGAGCTGATGAACGGGCTTGGCAAAGAAGCTTCTGCTTGGTGTTCCACTCTTGCCAAGCTCTTTGCCCCGCTATCCAATCGCGTCCCCAGCTCAACCACAGCATTTCGGCACGTCACACCCCGGCGATCGAAGTCGCAGCCCCCTCGCTTGCGCGCGCGCGTTCAGGCCCCACCACGACGACAAACAAATCTCCTGCCTAACGTCCAACCGGACACTTCAGTACGTGCTAGATCGAAGAAACGCAACTCCTCGTCGAATTTCGAAGAATAACCGTTGTGCGTGCCAACAGCTCTGTATTCAAGTCCGTCGGGAATCGAACCAATCTTACCTCGAGCACAGCAAATCGCAAGCTAAGCCATGGCAGACCGAGGCCACCGCGGCGGCCGCGGCAACTTTAGGGGAGGCCGTGGTGGTAGTGGTGGCGGCGGCGGCGGATATAGCAGCCGGGGCGGCAGCAGCGCGGCAGGCTCCGCTGCCGGAATGCCGGGCGCCAGCGGTAATGCGCAGAACCAGGACAAGGAGCGCCCTAAGAAGGAAAATATCCTGGATCTGAAGAAGTACATGGATAAGCGGATCACTGTTAAATTCAATGGTGGTCGGGAAGGTTGGTGTTTTTTCACGACTCAATCCACTGGGACAACGTGCTCTGGGACCTGGACAGAGTGAAGGCAACTGGCTGACAGCCTTTGATACGCAGCTACTGGTGTTTTGAAGGGTTATGATGCGTTGATGAATTTGGTCTTGGACGACGTTGAAGAATTACTTAGAGGTAAGTTCGCCTGGATTTGCAGGCCTAGTGAAAATCGTCTACTCGCCCTGACTCTTAGGTAGAGAGCGGTACTGACAACATCGCAATCCAGACGATGAGGGCAATGAAATGACTCGCCCTCTTGGTTTAGTCGTTGTTCGCGGAACTCTTCTTGTGTTTGTCAGCCCAGTTGACGGGAGCGAGGTGATAGCAAATCCGTTCGTCCAGGCTGAAGATTGAGCCCGAAATGGAAAGATTTTGAAGAAAAGCCGATTACATCATGTGAAACCAGATAAAAAAGGTGCAAGATTCTCGAGCCAGCTGGGTTAGAAAGGCAACGGAGACGAGCCATGAGCGATCCGGAGAACGTACATCATGCCAAAATGGCCTCGACTGTGGCACACACATAACGCCGAAACGCCACCTCTAAGGACCGTCTATCCCAACATACAGGGTGGGTGATGGCCACTTCTCTCGTGTCGTGGCCACTACGCCTGTGTAAGGGAGTAGGCGATCCGAATCAAAGTGGCATTGAACTATCACGGCTACAGAACCTATACCGTGCCTGTTTTGATTTGGAAGGCCCGAGGATGCGTTTCACAGTCACATATTGGTGTAACAGTTTGTTTTTGCCAACTATCTACCAAACAACGCTACAAAACATGCCTAATTGCTGCTCCATGTGTTCACTTTAACATATGCTCACTTTCCTCCCTTCTGGTTAGGCCTATCGTATCTGAAGTTGCGGACCTTCATCCTTGCTTCTTTCCTCAACTTATCCTGCTTGTTGGCTTGCATCTGGTTCAGACAGAGACCGGGCTCTTTCTCCATCCTCTTGTAACCTCCACCTCGTCACCACTTCGGGGGGCGGTGTCGCCTAGGTATTCGCCCCCGGTGCACCGGTCTTGCTTGCCTTCACGAGTTCATTAAACGCGCGGTCATACATCTGCCGGAGTTCGCGGTACGAGAGCACGAAAACCGTCTCGTTGTCACGGCTTGTGAGAAGGATATTCTCGTCAACGCCGGCTTCAAGCTTGCTCATGCACGTGAGCATGTGGCCGATGGAAAGGTTGGGCTTTCCATCGGCATCCACACGGTGAAAAACATAATCTCGGAAGAGCTTCAACTGGTACCTGTCGCCCGTCTCGGACCAGCTTGGTACTCCATCGTAATCACCCCGCTCGAGGATGGTGAGGAGTTTCATGAGACTGCGAGCGATCCGGCCATTCTCAACCTCTCGAGCAAGGTGGAATAACTTCTCGTCGTTGTCCTGGAGCGCAAGATCGAAAAAAGTGGTCATCTGCGAAGCGATACCGGTCATGAAATGTTCGATCGTCTTGGTTTCACCAGAGCTGGTGTCTAAGAGCCAATTTACGGCACTTTTGAGATTTGCCGAGTATTTATTCCCCAGAGTTTCCAGTGCTGCTGGAATATTGTTGAGATGCGCGGGGAGTGTACCAGTGGCAAGGGAGAGAATAAGCTTGCCAAACTTGACAAAATCCTCCTGTTGCAACTCCACAACAGATCGGGAATTCATCCCAAACTGAACAACGTCAAGAATTGCGCATGCTGAAAGTCGTATGCGATTGATATCGGTAAGGATGATTTTGCTAGGCTCGAGGCACCGAGCAGCAAGCCTGTTCGAATGAATGGTTTTAAGGGCGTTTGCAATTTGACAAATGTAGCCCCATATCGTGTTCTCTGGCACAGCAGGTGGGGGTCGATATCTGTTGCCATGTATAGGCTGGAAATGGTGTTCCTGCAGGGTTTTGGAGAGAGGATGAAAATCATATGCGAAGATGAGAGAACTGTCGCCAAATTCCCTGGTGGTAAAAACTTCGTGGATCGTCACGATACTGGCGTTCTTAATCTTTTTCCAATCCTTCATGACGTTCAGGATAGCTTTTTCGTTGGTCAATCGATAGCCTATCATCATACCGCAGTCAATACTCGGCCCGCAAAACCACCAACCCATGGATCCAAGATTGAATGATACCTTCAAGCCTCCTGAGGGCATAATGTCTTCCGTTACGGCTGTTTTGAGCCTTATAGACCCAACTTGGATACCCAAAACAAGAGGTGTTTTTCCTGTTACTGGTATCCAGAGGGACAAGAGAGTGCCAGTGTTCAAGTTGGGGAAGGCCCGAGTCTGGCTAGGGTTAGTCACAGCAACTGCAATTACAACGTTGCATGACTTACTTGGAATGACTTGTAGAGTTGCGAATTGCTTCTTTTGGAGGTCTTCGCGGAGATTTTGTGGCATGAAGAAATCATATGTTGCCCTTTGCCATGGCTGGAGCTCTTGCCTATATGGGCCAAATGGTTGATAGAGATGGTAATGAGGAGGTTGTATGGGGCCGGTTGGGTAGGCTGCATGTGGCGGATAGAATGGTGCTCCAGGAGCAGCCAGGCCGCTGTGGTCACCGTAGAGCGGCAAGTTATACTGACCAGCGGTGGGTAAGGCAGTTCCCATAGTACTCATTGTGAAAGGGTCAGGGTAGAGCCCATTCTCTTGGGATATTCCATTGGCATTCTAGATGTTTGTTAGCATAAATATTAGCAAACTAACAGACCAGCAAAGCCGTACGTTGTTACCAAGGTCGTAGTTTTGAGGGGTGAATTCCCGAATAGCTGCTGGATTGAACATTGTGCTTTCGGCAGTAGTTTGTAAGGTTGGCGCTGTTTGGACATATTAGAGATGATGCAAACCAGGCTCTGCAGGACATCAACTCACTTCCTCCACCACGAGGCGTGAATGGAGCAGCACTTGCGGCCTGAGATGAAAGAGTTGTCTTCTTCGGGAGTACCGTTGATTGGCCGGACGGGGTAAAGGAGGGCGAATCAACGTTGAACATCTTTTTAGAAGGTCTACCAGCACGTTAGAAGCGGAAAACATAACCACTGAGTCCAAGCAAATCGACAAAATCTGCGCGCAGGGAGTTTGAAACTGGGATGTTTGGAGGACCAAGCATCTCGGTCTCAGGTGGTATAGAGGTATGCCGGATGTAGCCAGTTCTTCCTTGGTAGCGTCTTTTGAAACTCTTTGGACCTCATTGTACAACCAGAACATGGCAATGCCAGCCTTGGAGGGCACTAAACCGGGCCTGGCAGCGACCAGTCCTTCATCGCCGTGTGGGGGTATGAAATTGGTGTACTCGAAGTGTCATATTCACCATGTTGCTGGCATCAACTTACGCTTCTGGTTGGGAGGAGTTCTTGTTTTGGTCATGGTTGTAGGTGCAACCCTGGTCCTCATAGCGGCAGTGGCCATATATAAGAACGTTTCGGCATAATATATCTTTGTTTTCTGTTGAGCAAGCGTCAGTTTGACCTCTTGTCAGGTCCAATGGGGCCATGGAAGAGAACAGGAGTAGCCCACCTCGACCCTTGGATCTTGGAGAGCTGACCTGCCTTCGCAGGTCATTCGAGGTGTACCGCGTCGCAGCCATGGTAAAGGAAAATGGATTGGATCAAGGAGTGTGCAACAGCCCCTTGACCAGCACTACGATATCTAAATAGTATACATGTCAGCGGTATGGCACAGAAGTGCGCAGGCACGCATCGGTGGCGGCAACGGTATCGCAGCCCTTGCAGTCCTGTCGGGGAGGAGGGTTGTCGTTGCAATAGTGGGGAACGGAGAGGGGAGAAGGGACCGTTCTCACTTGTTGGTAATGGGTCTCTCCCATGTTTTGATCGGACGGGCGATGAGGCACCCATAGAAACGCATGCGGGCGATGGCAATGGCGAGACGGCGTCCCAGGGATATTGATGCGCCTGTCAGAATGAAACAAGGAGAGCAGGGCGGATAGAGGGAGGAGGGACAACACGATCGGGGAGTTGCTGAGGGTTTGTCGCTACGTAGTTATCTTGAGTCGGGCATGGGCGAGTAGGCCAGGACCACTCGTAGCAAAGTTTTTGTCAGTAAGCATCCAAATCGACTCAAGAATGCTCCAAGGCCAGCGACTGTCAGTTGAAGATGCAAAGTTGAAGCGCGGGACTCGCGCGCTGCGGTGTGGGCCCTGTACCCCCCTCCGACTTCGAGGAGTTGGACTGTGCAGCCTGCCGATCCTGTTTGGAGTGGTTCACACTTTCAGGCTTCAGATTAGCCCCGTCTAGAGCAGTGCACAGACCATATTTATTCACTTATCGGTACATCTTATCGGAGAGACAACAGTCAGCCCAAGGGTTTACAAGACTATCGGCTATCGGCGAGGCTTAATGCCGTCCTCGCTGACCTCATTGCATCGTGGCCGAGTCCGCGAGCCGCCAACTGAGGCCAACAAACACAAGACGGCCATTGGAAGTTGCGATCCCCCTTTCAACCGGCGCTCTCGTGCAGCCACCACAGCGATACCCGGAGGGCGATTGTGGTAAACCGGGTGCTCCTCGGTTGCGGGTTGCAATATCGTCTGTTCATGACATTGTGTGGGGTTCGCGTTTCTCCCCGTTCTGACGCTCGACCGCCAGCCAAAGCGCAAAGTCCCAAAACTGAGAGTCGTGCTGGCCGCTCCTTTTCTCTCCGACCACATATCAAAATCTAGTCTCAGCCACATTGTGAGGCAACCATCAAATTATACTTCCCGACTTTGTTATAACGTACCTATTCAGTAATCTAATGTTCGCATCTGCTCCTGGTTCACCCTTTGCGCCACAATGACCAACAGGGAGGGTTTCGATTTGGGCCAACTTTCTGCAAGCCAACAGGAGGCTCTACAGCAATACACAGATGTTACTGGGCAAGAGATTAAGGATGCGATTCCCCTGCTCGAGAGATCGCAATGGAATGTTCAGGTCAGTTTCGTCCATTCTTCATTCACCCTAGGTCGCGCTCAAGCTGACTGTAGGGCAGATAGCTGTCTCCAAGTTCTTCGACGGAGAAGGTCCCGACCTTTTTGCTGAAGCCCAAGCAGCTCAGAATAATATTCCCCGAGCCGCCGCGCGGGTCGAAAACCTTCATGAAGCGCTCATCATGGACGTGGGCAACCGACCGGCGCGGCCTAGACAACCAAGAACGGAACCAGCCCCTCGAGTAGTCCCTCAGTCGCCACACGTGTACCGTTCACCGTTCCTGGTCACCTTGCTTTTCGCTCCATTTCGCATGGGCTACAGTATACTTTCCCGTGTTCTCGGCTCTATCTTGTTTATATTCTCGCTTTTACCTCGCTCCCTCCGTGCTCGATTTTTGTCTTCATCTATTGCCAAGGGACTCAGGCGGACCGATGGAAGGAGGCTTACTCTGCCAAAAGAAACTGCCCAGAGGTTTAAGCGCGAGTTCGAGGAAGAGTATGGGCCCAATGAAGTCCCTTTTTTCGAAGGGGGGCATGCCCAAGCTCTCGATACAGCAAAGAGAGATCTTAAATTTCTTTTAACGGTATTGATCTCCCCAGAGCATGATGATACGGATTCTTTCGTTCGGGGTACGCTCCTATCTTCTGAAGTTGTGAACTTCATGAACGATCCCGCAAACAATATCATCGTTTGGGGAGGGAATGTGTTGGATTCAGAGGCATATCAAGTTTCCCGAGAATATGGTTGTACCAAGTTCCCATTCTCCTGCGTGGTCTGCCTTACTCCTAAGGAGGGAAGCACACGAATGGGCATTGTCAAGCGCCTGGTTGGACCTATGACACCAGAGGCATACATTTCCGGCATCCAGAATGCCATCAACAAGTACGGACCAGACTTGAATGCTGTCCGTGCGGAGCGCGCCGCTCAGGAGATGGCTCGCACCTTACGTGAACAACAAGATTCGGCGTATGAACGGTCTCTGGCACTCGACCGAGAAAAGGCACGGCAAAAACGCGAAGCTGCTGCCGCCGCCGCTGCTGCAGAGCAGCAAGCACGAGAAAAGGCAGAAGCTGCCGCGCGTCTGCAGCGGTTACGGCAACAATGGCGAGAATGGAGAGCTACGACGATCCCTTCCGAGCCAGACCCGACAATCAAGGATGCAGTACGTTTGGCCCTGAACATGCCAGCTTCGTCCGGGGCTGGACGGATCGTTCGCAGGTTTTCCAGTCAAACAACGCTGGAGGAGTTGTATGCCTTTGTAGAGTGCTACGATCTCTTGAAAGACGCATCCAAGAAACTCACGGAGAAGCCCGAAGGGTACGAACACCACTACCGATTCCAGATTTCCTCGGTTATGCCCCGAGAAACATTCGAACCGAGCAACGCTGTCACCATTGGTGAGAAGATGGGTAGAGGAGGAAGTCTAGTGGTGGAGGACATGCCTGACGATGATGAATAGAGTGGTCTGTGTTCACTACTCTTTGGTCGTACCATGTTGTGCTATAATACAACTAAACATACAATACATGAAACAATTGTCCTGGCATTGCCAACGAATCAAGGGCGTCCACCAATTCGAAAACATGTGCTGCAGGCCATTAGTTGAAGGTTTGAGTTGTAGCATTGCCAAAGGTTCTCGATGTGCCAGGGTCCAACTAACGCGGTGCTGCATCTTCCAGAATTGCTTACTTTAGGTGCGCAAAAGCGAAACCCCGCCGCGGGCAGATCCGCTTCTTTGACTTATCTTATCAGGGATCAATTCCAAAGGAGAGCCCCATAATACGCGGGGATGCTGAATGTGCCCGCAGTTTGTCCACACACAGGGCTGACGCTTTCGGCGCCGGGCTGGGTATCAACAAGCTCATTTCCCCTCCCACACCATTCCTAGCCTTAAGTGCTCTCCCTGAGTTCCAACAAGATGCCATCACCTACCACATTGACCAAAACGGGGGGTTTGCGCGTCCTCGTGGCGACAGCGGGGCTGTGTGAGAACCGTCCGTCTTGGCATTGTGTTTAGCAACACCTTGTGCTTGTCCATAGGGCACTGTGCCATTGTCATCAGAAGTGACAAGCAGGAACGCCTACGTGACATACGTCCTGCCTACCACCTAGTTGACTCGTTGAACAAACGCGCCGTCGTTTCTGGAGGCCCATAGAAGTTGGCAAAGACCCTATTTCTCTCCAGAGTTGTGCATGGCCCAGCCCCTCCGAAGAAAAGCAGCAGCCAACGTTGAGGGGTCCTATTCAAAGCCGAACAGAACCCAACCCTGCCCATATAGCTCTCTCGATCTTTGGTCTCTTGAGCTTTGATCTCCCCTCTATTTTCCTCAAAGGTCCAGCCTTAGCTGTTGACCTGCGGTGTTATCCAGGGGTCTCCAGAGCTGTCATTGCAACCACTTGAAACGTTGACCAGAACCCAGCAACAAAAGCCCCTGCTGCCTGGGCAAGCGGCAACGCTCTGTGGAGTGACGGCACGGTAATCAAACGGGACACACCACAGCCTTATTGCAGGATCTACCGACTGTGCAACTTCCATCGCTTGCGATCCTTCTGCATACGGATCCAACCTGGTGACTCAACAGATCCGCAACTTCTTTTACATTGGTTACCTCTTGACCTGAGAAAACAGCAGCTTTAGTTGTTGCGCGTAGCGCGCGTTGCCATTCTTTGTTCATTTCATCTAGCACAGCACAGAGTGAAGGAGACACACAATGGGAAGTTTCAGCATGAACAAGGTGCTGGGCACCTTGAAGAAGCGACCGACTGCTGGGAGTAGTAAGTGCGCCTGAGCTCTAAATGTTTATGTGCAGTACCGCGACCATGCTTTTGTTAACGCTATCCTCGCGCGACAGTTAGTTCACAAGATACATCCCAAGTAGAGCCGGAGAATCATACACCTGAAGGGACCGCGGCGCATTGTGTGGTATGGACTTTGCACCTAGGAATTCGTTTCTTTTGTTTCCAGCATTAATGGCCCGCTCTCTTGCTGACATGGTTCTGTACAGAAGCAATTTTGCATGTCTGTGGGAAGCGCTTCGGTACGTTAGTTACAATCCACTACCTTCGTGTCTCATCTTGCCCTGTCCACTGAACAAATTCTAACTCTTTAGCTGCATTGCGCAGGGTGATGATGTCGTCTTCTTACCCTCGATAGTTGAGAGTGCTGTTGCGTCTCCTGCTGCCGCCGCTGAGTGTGCCCGTCGGATCAGGAAATATATGAGTAAAGATTATTGGACGAAGCCAGCATGCCAGTATAACGCAATCATGCTTGCCCGGATCCTGGCCAACAACCCTGGGCCCGGCTTCACGAGATTCTTGGACAAAAAATTCATTGAAGCGACAAAGGAGCTTCTAAGGTCCTGCAGGGATGCGAGCGTTTTGCAAATGCTTATGGAGACACTGGATGCCTTCGAACATGAGAAGTACGGAGACGAAAACCTCAGGCCGTTGATCGAAATGTGGAAAAAAGAAAAGGAGAAAGCCCGTCAGGCCTATGGAGTAAGGGTGTTTCTTGCAGGAAATGTGCTGTCGTCGGCCTTGAAGTCCTTGGGCTAACGGAAAACGGGTAGGGTGTCGTACTTGTTCCTCCCCCACCTCCGGTCAACCCCCAACCTCCCCACGGCTACCACCGGCACGGTTCTCACAGCAAGCGGCTGCCCGATCCAGTTGAGCTCGCAAGTAGACTAGAAGAAGCTCGTACATCAGCGAAGCTGTTAGAGCAGGTTATTGCTTGCACTCCATCCAACGAGATTCTCTCGAATGACTTAATCAAGGAATTTGCCGGACGGTGTACAAGAGCATCACGAAGTATTCAAGGGTACATGACTGCTCAGAACCCTGCTCCAGATGTTGACACCATGGAAAGTTTGATCGACACAAACGAGCAGCTCCAGAAGGCACTGAACCTTCATCATCGGGCTATTCTCCGAGCAAAAAAGCAACTGACTGAGAGCCAAACCCAAGGAACCTCTAATCTTGCTGTCCCCGGCAGTAGCAGTGGAAGCAGTCCCAATCCTCAGCTACAAACACAATCACAACAGCCGTCAAGTCCAACTTCCCGCCTTCTCGCTATTCTCCCAAGCCGTATGCCCGTTTCGACGAGCAGGGGCAGTGAGATCCAGAAGAGCAAGTCTCGCAACCATGACGAATACGTTCCCGACTCTGCTATGTCAGGAGCGCGTCACAGTGTCACCAACGACGATGATAACCTGCAAAACCCTTTCCGTGATCCCGACCCCGAGGTTTCTTGCACAGTCGGAAGGTCGATGCGCTTCCCAGATGAACCTTTCCACCCTGGCTTTGGGCATAATAGTGGCGGTAATCGGGCGACAGCAGCCGCTGGCCAGCAAAGACCATCCACACCTGTCTACAATCGCGATGATGATGGCTCAGACCTATACTCTGCAACACCCCCGAGGAAGCGTAGTGGCTGAATGGAGTTGGAAGCTAGTGATGATAGCTCCATGTGATCAAGATGTTGAATGGTGGATCTGCTTACCGTCATCTCTCTCGGATCCCCATAGGTTTTTTTTCCGGCTTTCGTTACTTCCTTTTTATTTGCTGCAGTTGTTACTTGGCAAGTATTTTGAACTTCTTCACCTCACCTCATTGAACAATTGTGGCTATATGGTTGCGTTCTCATGACATGAGCATCTGCAGTCGTAATACCTAATCTACCTCTACACCCATTTGTCAGACATTTGTTTCTTTATCCTTGATGTGATGTGAGAATTGTGCAGGATCTTCAAAAAAAAACATTGACGTTATGTTTGCTGTATCACATGGATCTGCTATCCTACATCAAAACTATTCAGCATGATTATGTTGTCGTTGTTGCTACACTAGATCACGTCCCTGATATCCCATCTTCAGCATCCCAAGTTGAGGTCAGGCAACTTACACGAACCCGAATAGATATCCGATAAGTTCTACGGTTACCTATGTCGCTTACTCTCGCAAACAAGCGCCCCTCCTCAGGGACAAACATGAAAAGGGCTAAAACGAGAGCAAAATATTATATTTTTGACGTATTCATGAATTCTAGACTTCCTGGGAGCACCGCTCGCCAGGCTATGGATTCTTAACGACCTGTCGAGCTTGTGAGCGGAGGGCCTATTTCCAATTACCCAAATACCCAAGACGCGCAGAAATAATAAAGCATTAGAATCAAAGATAGCAACCCAACTCTCTACTGCTATCTTCTCTGGACACTTTCCATTACTCTAAGCCCGGAACCTAGTGGGAGAACTCTGAGGTACATTCTTAGTGATTGAACCATCATATACCTGCCCAAAATCGAGATCATGAGTGTATGTGGTGAGGCTAGATAATCTTTTCCGAAGGCGATCCGTCATCCGATTTTTGATTGTCCTAGATCAGAGCATTGGATGTCTGGTTTGCAGGTTCTGATTTACCGTTTGATTCTGCATTTCTCTAATACTTGCAGGTTGCCGAACACCTTAATTCATCGTGATATATCATCACTTACAACACTATCTCCTCAGGATCATCCAGGCGCCCAACACTGACAGGATGGTATCAGGCTCAGGTTGAGAGATCAAAGCATGCTGCGATAAGTCAGAAGCATCCCAGCTTGTATAAAGTCTTGAAAATAGGCAATCCGGGAAAAGCACGCCAAGCAACTTTTGACTTTAAAATAAACCTGGAACGCTCTCTCAGTGGGAGAAGAGCGAATGAATGAATGAGGAAGATTGAACAAAGTCCATGGTCCAACCTTGACGCTTGCACACAGTTTGCGGGCTACCTTATCTCTACCTCCCATCCCCTTTCTGAACTGTGTCTTCAGACGACCTACTGATCCGTGCTCTTACTTCCTCCAACTTTGCTTCTAAATCGTTCTTCTGCCGCACTAGCTCTGCCTTGCGGTCCTCTAGAATGGCTATCTTTTCTTCCACACTGGCTTCGAGAACTCTCTTCTTCTCCTGTTGAGATCGACGTCCAGTTAATCAGATAATTTGGCACAACTATTAGGGTGGAGTGAGCAGGGGGCGACGTACAGCTTTCCATTCCTGCTGCGTCTTCAGCCCAGCCCCATAGATTGTCCCAGTCACTGTTACGGCGGTGAAGACGCCGGTATAGAGCCAGAGTTTCCATTTTGGGGTCTGCCCTTCACGGCCAGTTTTTGGAGCCGCTGATGAGGTGGCCGACTTCGATGCGACGTTTAGTGCAGCTCTCGCTGCGGAACGAGCTGCCGGCGGTACTGGCGGCATGATCCCAAGGCTAGAACGACACCGGCTCCAGGCTCGTATTGGCGGGATGATGCGGCGTTGAGGCTTCAGCTGCGTTTCTGTATTGGTCTAGACCAGAACTGCTGCCGACTTACGCGGCACTCGAGCTGCCGATCTCTTCAAGTTCTCTTTACAACAGGATGGATATCCGTATGTATGATGGTGGTTCCTATCTGCGGCCTCTCCGATGCATGAGGCTTGTTTTGTTGAAAGGCTGCAGTACGATTAATCACGGCCAGAGTGCCCTGCCACAAAGTTTCCTAAAATCAGTCTTTGCAGCTTCGTCACCTCTCGTTTGGTACTTGCCGTACACAACGGACCTAGTACTCGCAAGCCGTGCTGGGCACCTCTGCCGCATGGCAAAAAAGTCATCGGCTGAATCTGACGTAACCGGCCCAGGATCGTGGACCGGCAGGGATCTGGCACTAGCTCACAGCCAGGAAGAGTAGAGCTGGACGAATCGCTGGCCGCCCTTCGGAATAATGGCCCCACATTATCGCTTTCAGGGCTCGCGGGCCGTTCCCGTTCGTTCCCGTCTTTTTTTTGACTTCTTTTTCCTATCTTAAAACCACATCTGGGTGGAGTTTGCAGCTGAGAGACGAGCGAATGTTGCAGATCGTCCTTTCAAGCTTTATACGAGTTCTCACAGCGCAACAATGACAGAGCTTACTTAATTCCTGATGTACTTGTAGTGTGTGACACAAATGCTGGTCAGCGATCATTACACTACATGACTTCTCCCTCGCCTTACCCGGCGTTGGCTTTTAGAGTCGCTACGGATTACACCTGCTCAGCTATGCGAGGTTTGGCTCACCCCTTGCCCTTACAGACACTTTCCCTGGGAGACCACGGGAATGCGATCCGTTGTTCCAGAATTGAGATAAGCGAGTTCAATTTTTTGCGGTATCTCTTGCCTTGGCGATCCATTCCTCTGCCCATCGCCCGATGTGTCCACCAAACATTGCCGACGGTGTGAAAGTTGGCACGGTAGAATATATAGGTAATTCTTGAACCAAACATTACATGCCGAGCCCTCTGTGAAGCAGCATTGACGAGGTCCACTTAGGTCTTACCTATGTCTCAAACGTTCAAAGTTACCAAGAAAGTAAGGTGCTCACCTCCCCCCTCCCTCTCATCGACGTGTTTTGACGGCCGATGGGACAACTGCCTCATTAAACCGTACTACCAACAGAGCCTCTGTGGGCAGCGATCTTCAGCTGTGACAAGAGCGCTGGTTCACATGCAATTATCCGTTCACATGAGAGGCATTTTTTACGTCGGTTGCATACTCTTGAAGCACGTGTTCCAAGCCACTGCTTCTCCTTTGAGACATGTTGATCCTTTCCTTTGGGCGGCCCGGCCCGGATGCCCCCCGTGATACCACCAAAGATCCCGCAGGGTACCCCGTGAGGGAGACTCGGACGGTTTTTTCGAATTTTCCCCAGTTTCAGATTTCCTTGGCACTAATAGTGGCGGATACTGCAGCTACGTGTTACCAGTGCAGGCCGCAGGGTACTTTCGAGCTGCTGGATTCAGTATGCAACGGTGATTGTCTTAGGTGTCACAACAAGTAAACTGTGTGGGAGACCATCATGTAATGTTATGTTCCCGATGGAGGAAGTCGAAGTTGGTGCTAAAATGACTGGGACCGTAGAGTCTCCAGTGAGAGGTCACAATCATAGCATACCCTAGGTAGTTATGTGTAGGTTCATAGCCTGATTGAAGCGGCTTGCGAATATGCCCACCTCCTCTGTTGGGCAGTTATGTGGACCACTTTATTGTTTTTGGGCTCATGCTGATGTATTTGTCATTGCATGGCCACATCTTTTTGGACATTCTCAACTTGATACATAAAGGTTTTGGATTATCTCTTCAGTGTATCATTTCGGCCAAGTTGGTGTGAGAACAAACATAGGTATTCAGGAGATCTTTCAATTAGTGAACATTGGAAGACAGAGATACCTCTGTGTTATTTGTCAAAGGTATACGAACTAGCCTGAGGAATGAGGTTAGCAATCTATTTCAAGCTCTGTTCTATGCTCCTCTGGAGGGCATGGCTGGAGAGGACTTTCTGAGCAAGATATACAGAGACAGACTTGGGTGTTTTGCATCCTCAAGACACATGGTACAAAGATCCGTTGGAAAAGACCAGAAGGTTTAACAGAAGGAACAAATGTTATCCAACCAAAAGCCTTGATAAAAGAGGGAGCCCCTTGCGGTCGTAATAGCGCATGTTTCTGCCACAGAGTTCACAACCTGGTTTTTGAATTACCAAAACAGTCTTGCCATTTTCTGTTCCTATCATGCTTTCGTGCCACGGGCAATAAAAACTCGCCTCTTCTAGTCTGAGATGTGGAATGAGACAGTTCCGACTTCTTCTAAATCAAAGTCTTTCCCCACACCAGCCTGCTCAAAGATTCCTCGGATCTGCTCTTCGGAGAAGCCATGATGAGTCACGGTCGCGGAGGCTGAATGAGAAGGCTATGTTGTTGCGGTTTGAGTGGCATGTGTTAGTCAGGGAGCCATTGGCCGACCACATAGCAAAAAAAAAAAGCTGGCAGAGATGAGCATACATCTAGCTTGCCGTGGGGCAGGAAATCCAAGATGGTCAACACCCCTCCATCCTTCAATCGCTCTGCCAGCCTGCGTGCGGCCAGCGCGGGATCATCAAAATGATGAAATCCCAGCCCAACAGCGACAATGTCAAAGTTGAAGAATTCTGGGCCAGAAAATGCGGCTGGATTCGGATCATCTGGGACACACAGGTTCCCTTGATATGCGCGCATCTCAGAAGGGGCAAGCCCCTATAAAGTTGCGTGTCAGCGCAGCTTCCCTGGAAAGATGGTTCTGTCTCTTGCTGACCTGGTTCTCTGCTTGTTTGTTATATACTGCCACCTGTATGCTATCAGCTTTGTTCAAAGAGAATCCACCGATAACAACGCACCATATTTGCTGACAGATCAATGCCCACACATTGAGTTGTATAAGGAGCAAGAGCCTGCATTACAGCTGGGTTAGAGGTTTGTTCAAGGGAACATAGGAACACTGAGAGCAAAGTGCAACTGTAATAGACGACTAGCCAGAAGATTCATCGACTTGCCCTAGAGACTAGATTGGAATCCAGTCAGCTATCAGCACATCTTTTGAGAAGTCCTCCTCACTGCCCTGCTGGAAGAGCCAACAAACTCCAATATCCTTAGAACTGGTAATCTGAAGGCTTTTCGTTTCCTTGTTTCACTGAACAGGTTCATCATTATGCGTTTTAGGTTTTTTTCTTCTTTTCCGTACTATTGTGTGACAATTTGCTGAGCTGACCCCCACTCCTCTTTTGTATTCCTCCATATTTATGCGTCTCCTTTTTACGAAACAGAACCAAAGAAGCAAATATATGAGCTACTTACCAGTGCCAGTTCCGCAAGCATAATCTAGCAGTCTTACGCTCTTGTTTTGAGCTTGCCTGTTTTGGTCCTCATCGTCATTGTCATCATCATTTACCCAATCAACACCCAGGAAATCAAGCCTGTCTCGGATCTCTTCGATAAGCCTGTCAAGTGTTTTTTGGTGCTTAGCGTCGTATGACGCAGCTTCCTTACTACGCAAAAAAGACAGATTAGCCTGACTATGGTTGTACAAGGCTGGGACCAGCATTGCTCACTCGAAATATTCCAGATTGTGTACTGAGGCGGAGCCCACATGATGGTGATGGTGGCCAAAGTCTGTCATCGTTTGGAGATTCGGAATAGTGACCAATTGGCGGAAAAGATTTGGTCCTAAGGCAATTGTGAGATTGAAGACTCGATCTCCTCTTTGCTCTAGGCCACAACTCAGATTCAAGTTGTGCACACGAAAGTTTTGACTAGCGATGACAAACTGAGAAAGGGCAGAGACAGGGTAGATGTCAACCAAAGATACCACATCCCAGTCTGCTTCGGCAACATTTCGGCTACTTTCTGAGCCTTGTGGTCATTACTGCACCTACAACGGAGAGTGCATATAAGAAGCCAATAGTCTTAAAGAACGCCAATACCATATTGACAACATCGAGCCTTCAACCACCACTTGACAGATATGATCGACTTCAGGTATTCACACTCGCCTCTCTTTGGTTCAACGCGCAATGCGGTTGCCGCCGCAGCGGCTCACCATTCAGTTCCACCCGAATATCACATCCCAGATTCCCAGTCTTTTGCGGTTTATACAGTGCGTGTCCAAAAATGGCAAGAATACACACTGTTCCAAGGACGGCAACACAATTTGTTCGAAACAAGCCGTAACATCAGGATTGGCTCGCCTGTCCTTCGGTTGGGACGAGTTGCTCCTGCTGAACAACACAACTTCTTTGCCCGTAGACCCTGGGACGTCCGGCAGATGGGGAGATGGGCAAATGGCTCGAAATGAAGCGCCTTCACTTACTTAAGAGGGACACCACTCATGCGTCTGTAAAAGCTCCATGGAGTCTCCAAGATTGGCCTACGGGGGGGGGGGCACGAGAGAAAGATCAGACCAAATCATTCCTAGCTGACCAGGCATCATGCACACTTTCCAGTAACTTTGTACTGGCGCACATACAAGGTAAGGTAAGCGGTGTATGGGGAATCCGGTTCGGCAGGGTACGCACGTAGGATGCACGGGAACGGGAACGGGACGGAAGCAGAGCGAGATTGGACGGAATGATGATGCAAGAAACAGGGTAATATCCGTTTTCCCTCAGTCGTATGTGCTTGCTCCATGCGTACCGTCCCGCTGCCAACCAGTGAGGCTCGGTTCTCTTTTCCCTTCTTCAATGAGATCATGGTCAGAGAAAGGGGGACCGGTGAACTATACGCGCGAGCACCCGACAAATGCTCCGGACAAATCTAATAAGATGCCATGTCGTTATGTGACATTGACCTAAACGCCATGGACCCCAAACAGATATGTATCAAAAGAATTATTCTGTTACACAACTGTTTTCGGGAACGGAAACGGAAACAACACGTTCCGCTGGAGGGGCGTGTAAAGATAGCTCCGCAACATGTTACCTGGCAGGGTATGACTTACTTACCCAAGTACGTAGATAGTGTCATCAGCCAGCTAGAACGTGAGGAACAGGACGAAGGCACGTAGGCACTTCTTTTTTCGGCTTTCTGCTGGTTGGGTTGGCAAGGAGCATCCGACTCAAAAGATGGAGGGCTATTGGGGTGTGGTTTGTTTGCCCCCCAGAGAACTTGGTTGAGCCAGCGACGCGACCAACTCTTCCCCCCAGATTCGCCACCGGTCATCCAGTCCAACGCAGGCCCGAAAGCCACACCTTTTTGCGGCTAGCTAATAAACTGACCGTCTCCGTGTTGGGTGCCCAGAGAGGTGGAACGCATTAAACTCCCGACTCCGCCCATGCCCAGCAGAATTTTAGCGTGGGGTCTCTGGCCTTTTGGTTGGGTCTGACAAACGGGAGTCAGAGATCGCACCGGCGATCCCATGGGATGCACGAGAACCCCGCCTCGATCCGTAGCCAGTCCCAGTCAGAGGGAACGAATTAAGTGGGCCCGTCTCTAGGGTCTTGATGACGGAGCAGATTTGGTACTCCGTAAGACGGTGTCCTTCTGACCACGATCTGTATCAAATGTATCACACAGGTGGTGTCTCTTACGTCATTTTCGCTCGGTATGTAATATACACGCGATGTATTTATAACATACCTTACGATACCGTTTCACTGGGTGCCCGATGTTAACTGCTCGTCTTCCCGAGTTAAGCATGTGCTGTAGGATGGTTTCAAGGTCAGCGGCGAGAACTGTAGGCTTATAGTACATACTTTACTCTAAGCCCGAACTACATGCCTCTCTACCCCGGATTATGTCAACTGTGAAAGCGTTGAACTGATTTAAGGGTGTGGTTTCTCCTCGAAGCTGACTTGAACGGTAGCTCTTGTCAGAGCAAACGCACATGATCTGGGTTGTTGGGTTTCAAAGGACGTACGTCATCAGCAATCGCTCTACTCTCATAGCTTGGTGCCTTTTGGTGCCTCTCCTTTCACAGTAATGCATCTAGATGTTGTTCAACTCCTTCGATAACCAACTGTTTTTATAGGCTAATTTTGGATCAATGTCGACCACTATCATACTTTTATCGATAGCCACAGCCATCATTGACGGTTATGCTACGCCTAGCACTTACATTTCTCACACACACACACACACACACACTCTCTCTCTCTCTCTTTGAAACTTTTAAATGGATCAAACTTGCCATGAATATAAGCACACAAGTGATTGCCAGATGCTGAGTTCGTAGACTAGCTTCATCTGGTAAAATTGGCCAGTCAAGGGCGGGAAATTTGGGAATGCCAGCGAAGTCGAGAGTCGGCAAATACGTAGATTGAGCGTTCCTTGTCACTAGGGGTATGAAACATGCTGATTGTATAGAAGACCATGCCTCCAGAGACCCTCTGTGCAGTACTTGGAATTGTTCGTGAATGCTGTCTTGAACAATTTTCTATCGTTGAGAAGTCGGAGTACACTAGGCCGACTTGAGATTGCTATAAGTTCAATTTAACTATAGTAATCTGACAGAGACAGGAGGAAATGATTATGTAGAGGCACATATCGCGCTGCTCAAGAAGGCTAACCAGAAAAAGACTTGCGATGGTCGATAAGCCCAAGGTGATCATCCGTCTAGCAGCTGTAAATTACCATGTAACTTCAGATAATGTGACGTCTGACTGCAGGTAATGAAGTTTGAAGAAACACTGACGATGGCCACCGGCGATGGCCTCTTTTTGCGGCAATTTCGTCGATGATCTTCGAGCTCCCGAGCTCTGCATACAGTACATATAACACACAACGGTAGACCTGCTTTCTGCAGCACTGCCATCGGCCGACAAGGCAAGGGATGTATTCCAGCAGTTCTTCCAATACCTCATATCAGCCCGGTAAACAGTCGCTGCATGACGAAAAGAATGGCAAGAGACCTGCTGCAAGCTTCCTGCGGCGTGAGTGGGGGTTGGGGAGTTGGAGGGTGAGGTGCTCTGCGGCAGAGCTGAACAAGCCTCCATCGGAGCAGTCAGAGAGGGTGTGTAGCGCTGCAGCCTTCCACACCTTTACCATCTTCTATCTTGTGATCAGTGGACCACCGTCGTCAGCTGCAGCACCTACCCACGACCTCTTTGAGAAGCTTGTGGATAGGTGGTAGAAGTGCACTCCGACTGGCTGGTTGCACCCCACGCAGTGAGCCGGTTCTATGCCTGTTCGTTTCGTGTGTGCTGCCTCTCGCCCGGGCTCCTCGCTCAATGGAGGTCTCTTGGACGCGCACGAGGTAGAATGTGTCAGATCGCACAATTTGCGGCTGCTGTATGCCTACCGCATCAGAGACAGAGCACTGAGCAATATGCTGTCCTTCTGTCATTGGCTTGCAATTGTGGTGCAGCCGTCGGCCGGCCCAGAGGGCGGTTCTTGACAGGGTAATTTAAAGCCGCTTGTTTGTCCTCGAGGGGCCGTTACTGTTGGGTGAGACTGAGCGTAGGATCGTTCCGCTATCTCTCCGTGACTGAAGCTGTCTGTCATACGGAGTACACAGTCCGTCACACTGCCAACGACCTAAGCGAAACATGTCTGCAAACTGACACAATGGACCATGCGATGTAGGGACTATATCAAAGAAATGCCGTGTTACAATCCTTCCATAAGGAACTGGAAGACTCTGGTAGTGCATGCGTGGGCTGTGTTGATGGTCAGTTGTCTGGATGTTTGGCAGGCAAATGTTAGGCGATGGATGGTACAGATACATTGCGCGTATGTCTGTGAGCGCTAAAGGGCTTGTCTCACCGCTGTTTTGCCGAGATCCTCTTTGCGGGGGGCAATCTTCGGCCTTTGTATCAAGCATTTGTAGAGCCATTTCGGTGAAAGCTCTTTTCAAATCAGTCATAGAAGCTTTGGCAACATTGAGTAGAAACGCGGGTGAGCTTCGTAAAGAGTTGACCTGCTAATACCATCTCAAAGGACTCGAAATCACACCTTTGCAGAATGCAACAGGTTGGGAAGGATTTCCCTTACTCAAATACGAAAGTAGTAGTTCAATAACGGACCAAGCAGCCAGCTCCACGTGTGTGGATTGTGAGGTTTGTGAAGTTACTATCGATGGGTTAAAGGCTTGTGCGAAAAGAGGGTAACATATAGCCATCCTACATACGGTCCCGTCCTTAAAAAACGCCTCTGTAGTTCTCAGACCAATCACTCTGGCAAATCACTCTGGCACAATCATCAGCCCACTTTGTGAAATGTAGGCTACTTCATCGTTTGCATGAATGTGTTTGTCAGTGTGTGACACCATCGTTTGAAGCAAAATGGTCTTGAACGTTGTACTGTTACCAGATCCTTGACGTCGTATGGGCAAAAATGAAGCGAGCCATCTGCACGATGGTTGAGCAACTCAAGTCAACTTCATTAAAATGGCCGTGGGCTGGTCCCTGCCTTTCCTGCTTCTCTCAAAAAATGCTTGGGTTAATTGGACAAATCAGGGTAGCTCTTACGTGATAAGCTCATGTACCTACACTGCTTGGAGGTCGGACTTTGACAACAGCAGCGTTCTCATCAGGGTCGGGACGGTGGATCAACCTGTCAGGGATATTGGCCTGGATGAACTTCAAGCGCTGATCCAACCTGTGATCCGAACCTCGGGTGGTGGACGAATCGGTGAAGACTTGGCTGTCAACTCCTCGACAGAAAGGTTTATTCCCGACGTCCCCG